AGGGGAATCCCAGTTGATCGTATCATTGCTGGATGTCAGCGCCTTTGTCAGGATACGGACATATCGTTCGTCGGCCAACGGAGCCTTGAACAGGCACATTTCTGGCCCTAATATTGGCTTTAACCACGCGGTTGCGAGGGTGGAACGGACGGTTAGGCCAACCGTCTCGCCTCGCATAATTATGAGAGGGATAGGATGGATAGGGGAGGAGATCGAAGGCGACATGGCTCTGGTCCCAGCCCTATCCTCCACGATAGTTCCCACCTTAGTCTCGCCTTCGCCTGATACCTCAAGCTTGCCGAACGATGCCTTCGGAAGTGCATGCGAAGGCATGGTCCACGTTGCCGGCCCGTATTTTTCCGCACGTTTTTGATGCGATCCTGAAACTTCTCCTTGAAATGCTTCGCCTGTTTAGTATTGGAGTTCAATGCTCCGAGCTAAAACTTCTAAAGTCGACCCTTTTCCGCAAGGGTATCTGAGTTGCACATGGTGACGATGTGCGCATAAGGTCCATGTCTCTACGAATCGAGACTCTCCGCAAGCGGGACGAGGTTGTGGCATTGTTCGTTGGGCGATGAGAGCAAGCTTTCGTCCAACATGATGTGATAAATTGTGTTCCAGATGTTGGGAAGCCTATCTCCAGCACCATCGTCTGCTACGAGTGTAAAGTGTAATGTGTTGCGGGCTGGTAATGAAATAACATGGGCGCAGTGGCACTTGTTCAAATCACCCGCACCTACCAAGGACAGCGGCCTCGTGATCGCGGCAGGTGATGTCAAGCTTGTGAGGTTCTACTATTCTCAAATCAGAATGAAGAAATTGACGACATCACAAGAGACAGTACCATTCGACAACGAAGCCTCAGCGTGCACCGTGTTTTAGATATCCACACCCAAGGAGCAGCACATCCGCCTTGCGTTCGAGGGGTAATTCCTCTGTGAGGTATATAGCAGACGTATTACCAAGCAGATAGAAGGATATTCGACCTAGCCAGTAGTAACCAGCAAGCCTGCTGTTCTGCTGGATGGCACCCAGAGCTTTACTACCTCACGAACTCACTTCGTTGTCATCGAAGTGGATCGAACTCGCTTAGCCACTTTGGTTCAATTCGAGAAGATTTCTGGGTTGAGGACCTGCCGCATTAGGAAAGTCATCGTTACCGACCTCCAAGGGTTCCGCAGGTTGCTCCCAACCAGTCACTTTCAAGGTGCTTCATAAACCCAGTGTCGTGCGCTCACATTGCGTCGGGTAAACTGAACTGGCGGATAAATTTGAGGCGATAACGCCAGCTGCAAGCCATTTACATCCAGGCAACTCGAAGCGAAGGCCACACGACTGCAGTGATGCTGTCTCGGTTTGCGAGGCTGTTCTGTTTAATTATTGTTTCCCTAGTGCGTGTCGGTGCTTTTACTCTCTTGCTTCACTCCAATGCCTGAAGCTAAAACGTTGATGCTCTGTTCCTCGGACTCTGCGGCGCCCTCATGGCGCCATTCAGTTGATCTTAGCAACTCTCGCATCTCTTCACCCACAGACGCGCGCATACATTGATCCATGGACTGGGGAGCTTTGGGGCGAAGGAGGCGTCGAAAAGGATTTGCGAGTGTTGTATCCTGATAATTCGAAGGAGTATGGACCTGCACACTCGGGCGTGGTGGGAGGGGTAGATGGAGGTGTGATTATGTCCAAGCTAGGGAATGAAACAGCAAAGTACGCCCCCAGCTCTGCCTATGCACAAGTTTTCATCCATTCTTAGGGCTGAGCTGGGCCGTGCGACATGGAAGCTTCTGTGAGTGGATTCTTCTTCTCGACAACACACTCGTCAATCATTCGGTGTGCGCGCAGACACACTATGACATTACGATTTCCTGAGGTGCCCATCGATTTCTACGCTATTTACTCTCCGCAAACACTGTATTTATTACTTGTTTTAACTAGCATCCAACACCCGACGAACGCGAGGCTCTCAGCTCCTTTATGTACCTTACCTCGCGACTGTACCCTTGTGGGGAATGCGCTTCTGAATTTCAGGAGTTACTAAAGAAATTTCCGCCCCAGGTTCGTACACGCATAGTGTGCTTGCCATATGCTCGGGCGTTGCTCATTCTTACATTTTACATCATGTGACGTAGACTGCAAGTCGGCTTTCTGCGAGCATGTGGTGAGTAATCGCTGGTTAGTAACCTGGTTGCATCGAGCCATTGATCGTCTTTTCCACCTGCCGGTCCACTTTCGGTGCTTCAGGCTCTGCTCCGTGCATAACGAAGTAAATGTCAGGCTCGGTAAACCGACATTTGACTGTGCCAGGCTTGACGAGACATACGATTGCGGTTGTGGAGATACACCTATATCGTTGTCAACTTCAACTGCAACTGCAAGTCCAGAGGCTGTGGCACTAGAAGAAAAGAAAACTGATGCGATGGATCTGGAGTGGGACAGTGCGAGAGACGGGGTTACCGGTGTTGAATTGATCAAAGGTGGGAAACACTAGAAGTCATATGCCTCGCATGGCACGGGATAGGGTTGGGATTTCCTTGGGATTTTTTTCTGCTTCGGTGGTGAGTTTGTTGTTGATAATGACTGTCGTATTATTATGGGGATACCCCAGCAAGTTCGAGGTCATGGCACCTCTTTAATCCGCACAGGTGAAATGTGGGGTTACCAACTGTGGGCGTCGTGCGTCGTGCTGTAACGTTCTTCCCATGATTGACTGGGAGTAACAATGCTATTAAAGATGCTAGCACCGCTACATACTGGCAAGTACGACAACTTCCCACGGTAGTACTGTGTTTAATGATCGGAGTCGCTTGTCGTTCCCGCGATGTTAGTCAAGACTTAAAGAACTACTAATTGCTCATGCAACTGGAAGTATAAAAGCATGGTGAAATCCTTACAACCTCACCAACCCCACTCATGACAACGTTCATTCTCCTTGCCATTGCTGCTTACGTGCGCGCAGACCAATGCATTGCATGCCCGGAAATGATGAATGTCAAGACCCTTGATTTCTCCTGCAGTTGCTATGGCTGAGACTATCATTTGTGGGTGAGCAGTCCATTCGCCACGCACGGGGCTAAGCAAGGTTGCTGACATGTATCTTTACTCAGCTATATCAGGTATACGGGGATGTCCTGACTTCTCTGACCGTGAGCGCGAACTCGCAACTGGCTAGGCGTTGAGCGGTTTCCACAAATGCGATCCTTTCGTAGGTCTATCTCTATCAGGCAAGAGACCGATAATTAGCACCTACTCCACGTATGTGTACGTGGCAGAGTCATCACCATCGGGCAGGTCATCATCCTCGAGTATGAAATGCGCAGGTTCGTACTCAATATGGCTTGCAAGTACCCGCGGACCACGTAAAAAAGTAAAAGTCCGATGGGGCCTACTTTGGAAAGCCATATTCTTCAGGTTTTGTCATTCATCCCATGTACATTCGGCCATCGGGTTCCTTGTTTCTGTGGACAGCCCTGCCTCACCTCACCGGAAGATCTTTCCTTCCCGGCCTATGAGTGTAAGACGCTGTCTGCTATTCGGCGAACATGCCACGTGTAAACATCAACCACTTGGAGTCACTTGTCGTCGCCGCAGTATTCGATAAGACTTGGACGTACTGGTCGCCCACGCAACTAGAAGTATATAAGCATGATGAAACCCTCTCAATCTCACCAATTTCCCCGCAAAGATGCAATTCACGACAGCGTTCGTTCTCTTTGCCATCGCTGCATACGGGTGCGCAGACCAGTGCATTACATGCCCGGAAACGATGGATGGCCAGGCTCTTGATTTCTCCTGCAGTTATGATGGCGAGACCACTTGCGCGTGAGCACCCGTTCCGCGACGCATGGCCCAAGTAGGGCAGCTGACATGCAACTTTGTTCAGTTATTCCTATGGAGGCCCATTCTGCCTTTATTTCGTGCGTGAACAAACGCAATATTTCTTGTGGATGATAAATATTTAATCACGAGCGTGATAGAACACCGGGAACTTCGCGGGCCTCTGTGATGATAACTACTGTGCCGATGGTTGCCCGTTGAACATGGGAAAAACCTTACACAGTTGCGACACGTGCTATTAGAAATTAGTAGCTGGGGGATCAAACCTCTCGATTTCGAGGGTGACTCTCACGTCAATTTTGGAATTGATTTTGAGCACAGACAATGGTCGACTTTGTTGAATCGGCCGGAATTATGAGGTCTCAAGTCTATTCAGTTCGAGTTGTTTAATAATATCTTCACGTAGCACTGGAAAAATAACTACCCCTGTGTTGACACCAGCTGTAGGGCGCAGGGACTGCAGGTGTCCTCGGAAGCTATAGCGAGTCCATGGGATCTCTTGATCCTACAGGATGAAGGAATTAAAGAGTGGCCACCGAAGGCCACCGAAGACACCGAGGGAAGTAAATGCACTGAAAACAAGTGCCATATGTACTGTATAATAGTCCCAAAAGCACTGGATATCAGTTCCATGTGATGAAAATCAGTGCCAAATCATGGCACTGATATTTCATTTTTGCTACTAATAACTAGTGCTGTGCATCAGTGTCATTGATGTGTTTTTTCAGTGTCAAATGGTACTGATTTCCAGTCATGTTAGGCACTTATTTTCTGGAAATTTCCATTGAAGAAGGCACTGATTTTCAGTCAAGAGCACACTTATCATCAGTCACAAAAGTACCATTTCACTTGCAAAATTAACATTGATTAGACAGCACATTGACATTAAGAGCTGCTGGGGAATCAACAATACACATTACTGGGTGTGTAGAAGTCCAAGCAGCATGAGGCAGCAGTGAGTTCTGATGAAAGTGTGTAAACAGTGTGGCTGGGGAATCAACAATACACATAGCTGAGTGCATAGAAGTCCAAGAGGTGCAAGGTGGCATTGAGTTGTGATGAAAGTGCATAAACAGTGTGGCTGGGGAATCAACAATACACATAGCTGGGTGTGTAGAAGTCCAAGTAGTGCAAGGTGGCAGTGAGTTCTGATGAAAGTGTGTAAATGGTCTTGAAAGTGTTCAAATAAGTTAGCTAAAAGGAAATGAGAGTGGATTGACAAGGCACAGCCCAGTTACAAATGTTCTGTCACAATTGGCCTCACTGAGTCTTTGATCAAGTAGTGCGATTTGCCTTAGCATGTTCCTGTACATTCAACCACAGATGAGTCACAAGTGCAGAATGGACAGTGATGGGGGTATGACAACTGAATTGTCTTATACTCACTGATGTCATGAGTCTGGCAGTTTGACCTATGCTTGCATTTGGGGTGTGCTGCTGGACCTGTGTAAGTGGTGATATCTATATCAGTATAACACATTGGAAGCATCAAAGGTAGTACACATGCAGTGGCCACTGGCAGCACTGTTGATTGGGACTTGCTGCTTGGCATGACTATTGTGGTCTGTAAGGTTAGTAGTCTCAGTAGGGCACTATGTTAGTGGGATAAAGTGTGTAGTGAACGTTAACCTTTGCCTGCTCTGAATGTAACTTGTTGGCAGCTTGATTGGAATCATCATCTGCCACAAGTAATTTAACTCTGAGGAAAGCTTGTGGCTAAGGTGAACAGTGTCAGTCAAAGCACAGCCTACACAGGATGATGGAGTAGGAGATGCCTTCTGCATTTGCCCTTGGAGTTCCAGCAGAGCCTGAGTGGCATCCTGAGTATCACTTGTCACTTCACATGTCAGGAGCTCCAGTCACTTTAGTCAAAAGGCAATGATGTTTCTGTGAAATATCTCCTCCAACTCTGCATTGTCATCATTTGCAGGGTGGATGAGGGAACCCACATTGCTACTTGCAACCATAATCTTGTGCACCTTGACAACTGTTGTGGGGCTGTAGTCATCTGTGATCAGCAAGGTTGCTACATAGGGCACCATAAAGTATATCATGAATTGTGTGAGCAGTAGAGGCCATATTGCTGCAGTCAACTCTGCTGGTGCTGGGAACAGGGCAATGAGGGTGTGCTCAATGATTGTGGCTCCCTTGTTGCCATAACTGCTCAGTGTTTACATCAATTTCCACACAGTTGAAGAAGTGAGTTGCATGTTAGGGACATACTATCCAGCACATGAGTGGTCTAGAATTGCTGATCTGGAACATAGTGCTGAGTTCCACATGTGAGCTAGTATTTTCAACATCCACCCATCTTCAACCAAGTTGGCCTCGAAACACTTCCAGACATGCTGCTGCTTGTGGAGGCTCCTGTTACAAACAATTGGATCTAGCTGGTCTTGCCACTTGATGATATGCCCTGGAATCTGCTGGAAGTCAATCATGCTAATGGGCCAACCTTTTTTCACTGCAATCTTGAGTTGTGTGTATTTCCTATACTCCCTTTTGATCATGGTGCAGATCTGAGCTCCTAACTGGACTGTCTCAAAGTTATGCCCATGATGTTCTCATGTCATGGAAATGTATCTTTGTAATATTGCAAAAAGATCTTGAGACATTCTGGATGGGACCTTGTCCTTGCAATATATGCCTGGACATTGTGGTGGGAAGTCATCTTGCATGATCATGGATGACTGTGTTTCTGCATTGTCCTCCTCATCAGTCAAGTCCTGCATGAATTACATGAGAACACTGGATGGCATACATGATAAGTACATCTAGAACTCACTTGTAGTCCAAGGGACACATTGTTGCTTTTCTTCTTCTGTGACCCATCCTGTGTGAGTATGAGAGCATGAAAACAGAATGTGAAGTTTTGAAGGCATGCATACATGACATCCAGAGGCCACTGGCACCTCTGCTTCATTGGCTTGCTCCTGCACTGATGCAAGTGGTCTTGGAGTGCATGACCCATTGCTGATTGATTCCTAAAAGAATGTGAATGCATGGAGTGAACAACTTTCCAAACCAAACCTGTCATTCCATTCCCAGCATGTCATTCACTGGTCATAGTATGCATGATTGCTGGTCATCAATTGATTCATCTACCAGCTCATTTCTCTTTCTCTAAACTGTGTGGTGCATCATGAACATCAGCTGGTGACTACAGGTCAATATGCTCACTCACATTCTTCTGAGTACCACCCAGGCATTGGTGACCCTTATCACTCTTGGCATGCACATTGGACTGGATGTCATCATCACCAATGATTGATTTTCTCTGAAAAATGTTTGGGCATCAGTTGCAATCACATATAACTTACTTCCTCACCATTTTCTGACTGGCTTCTGTGTGTTTTGGGTAGACATCCCTCTCATCTTCATCTTCATCCCTCTCCCTCTAAGTGACACAGAGTGAGCTTGAGATAGTAGAGTGTTTGTTCATTTACCTTTCTCTGTGTACCCAGAGTGTGATTGCTGTGCCTGTTACTAGCACTGGCATCATCTGCATACACTTCCTTGGACTTGGACTGGGACTTGTCTCTCTTTCTCTAAGCAACACATAGTTAGTTCATGATAGTAGAATGCACATTTGCCTACCTTTTTCTGTGTAGCTGGAGCATGTTTGGTGTGCCTGTTAGTGCTGGCATTGTCTGTGTCCACTTCCTCAGATCTGGACTTGGACTCAGACTTGTCCCTCTTTCTCTAAATGACATGGAGTGAGTTCATGATAGTAGAACACACCTGCCTACCTTTTTCTGTGTACCTGAAGTATGTTTAGTGTGCCTGTTAGCACCAGCATCATCTGCACCCACTTCCTCCTCATCTTTGTCATCAGACTCTTCTCTCTTCCTCTAAATGTACCAGGGAATCAACTTGAGATCAAAATATGGATAAAAGTAAATGCTAACCCTTGCTTTGGCATTCTGTTTTTGCCTTTGTTCAGATGTTGACTAGTTTTTCAATACCTGGGCAATTAAAGCATGTGCACCCCAGCCTCCCTCACACTGCATGAGGATTTCCAATTCTGCTTGGGCCTAACAATGTTAATCTTGGTTATTAGTGGCTATATGCACTTAGAATGTGCTCCCTTACCCTCTGAATGACTTTCTCAACAAGGAGCTTGTCACTTTGGTGAGAAAGTGAATGACTTGTATCCAGGTAGCAGTAGACCAATTTCCATACAACATCCTATTGAGTAGCATACAGGTAATAAGAATACAATAGTAGGGATGGAAGACATACTGAAAGGTGATTGTACATGTCCTTCTCTGTGAGTCCCAAGGCATCTATTGGCTAGTAGCCACTGCCTTGACCTGCTCAGCCCTTGGGCTTGTTAATCAATCTTAACTGTTGGTTAGTATGTGTATCTTGCTGTTTTTTCTGCCTCCTCTCCTCTTTTGCATGGTCCTTTCCTGCAGGAAGAGATATGAGATCTAAATGGTACCTGTCAGTATCAATGAACTCACATTTGTGCACTTCCAAATCCCCATGGAGTTCTGATAATGACTCTCCTAATTTATTGATCCTTGACTGCTTCTTGTGCTTCAGCTTTGTCATCAAGGCTGGAGGCTTGACAGTGGAGATGATATGGCACTTAGGATAATGGATGTAAGCAATGACCTTGGAGTGGCTGTGCTCAGGTCAGGTGATCACAGCTCGGTACATGTCACTAAGTCAGTTAAGTCAAACATACTGACCATGCCTCCAGTTCAATCTCCAAGGAGGAAACATTGTTGGTGCAATCCAGGATGTGGTGTGTGCTTGAGCAGCACACAGTGGTGGTGTCACTATAAGAAGGCTGTGTCCATGGGGAAACTGGCAGGCATGCATGACTCTGAAAGCATGACAGGTGAAGAAGGCCCCCAACTAGATTTGGCTGAAGGTTAGCTCAACAAGCTGAACATTAAATGATACTAAAGTAATCATCTCAGGTGGTCATTCCTGCCTGGTATCTCCATCTGAGTCATTGGACACAACAGGTGTGAGTGGGGTGTCTGAGTCTGAGGCCAACCCCAGAAGTGATGTTCAAGATGATGTATGGGTATGGGCTGAAGAGCTTGAGGGAGATGATAATGAGCTGCTGGATGAGTTGGAAGACAATGCAAGAAATGAAAGAGAACAAGATCTGTTCACTCTCCATATGTGCCTGGTTGCCATGGCTCTAATGTGTGAACTGATTATGCATCAGGGAATGATATTCTATTGGATGAAGATCATGACAATATCTGCACATTTAACCTCCTTATGATGGGCCAAATCACTTGATGTGCATACTCACAGATGCAATTCACTTTCTGACACAGAATGAACCTCAACTCACAATATGTCATCTTTCAGCACATGGCCAAACTATCTGGGATCAAACCCCTCTTGGTTGACTGCTGTGGAAATTCATGTGTGGCCTACACTGAAAAATATATTTATCTTCAGTCTTGTCTGTTCTGTCAAGAAGCATGATTTGACCAGTACAGAAGGCCATGTCGACAATTCATGTATCTCCCACTTATCCCACAACTGCAAGGGTATTTCCAAAGCATGAGGATGATTGAAACACTCTCATACCATGCAGATTATGATATTGGGAGAGGAGAGATTGCAGATGTATTCAATGGGAATCATTACCAGCAGCTTCTCCATTGTTGTGTTATTGTTGATGGAGAAGAGTTACCTCACCAATACTTCTCAGATTCCTGAGACATTGCATTGGGCCTTTGTACTGACAGCTATTTACTCTTCAGGCAGCAATGCAAGGGCCTGTCCAGTACACCACTCCTGTTGCAGAACTACAACCTGCCTCTGCATGTGCGAACTCACAGCAAAAACCTATTGTGCATCAGAATTATACCTGGCCTGCACCAACCCAAGGACCTTCATTCTGTTCTCATTCCCCTGGACAACGAATGTGCTGAGCTAGCATATGGTGTCCAGACTTTCGATGCATCCCAGCAAGCCCTTTTCAAGATGCACATGTATATCATCATCAAATCTGGTGATATCATCACAATCCACATAGTGTAGTCACATTTAGTCACAACACATGGGCAGCCTGTGTGCCAAAACACCAACACTTATATAGACCCTGAGACAGGCCTGCCTAAATAGATTAGCTGGTACACATGGACAGGCCTGAGGGACTAAAGTGAGAGCAACATATGTGCAGGCCTGTAAGTGCATTACCACAACATATGGGAGGGCCCATGGTGGGTAAGGATGTTGAAACATTTAGACAGGCCTGTGACCAATTAAGTATACTGAGTTGCTGTAAGACATGGATGGGCCCATCCTGGTAGGTTACACCCCTGTCACAACATCAAGGTGGGCCCACCTATCATAACATGGAGAGGGTCACAACATATGGATGGGCCCAGGAGTAATATCATTTATGGTGTTGCAACATCTAGACAGGTCCATTCATAATAAGCCATACCCCTGTTGCAACATAAAGACAGGCCCATCAGTAATATCATTTCATAATGTCACAACATATAGATGGGCCTGTCAACAGTAAGATGTACCACTGTTGAAACATAAAGATGGGTCCATCACTAGTATCATTTAATAGAGTCACAACATAAGGTCAGGCCCATTGTGAGTCAAAGTGTGGTTCAGTGGTGAAAACCAACCAAAACCAACACAGAAGACAACAAGAGCAAGTGGTGGTGTGCCTATGCAGTACCTAGATGGTAGAACCTGTTCATTGGGAGGGTTTTTGTGAGCTATAACACTCAAAGATGAGTGCTGAGGGTTGGGGGTGCTCCTGATGAAGAAGGAGCAGGAATGTGAGAGAATGTGATAGGGTAGACTGCTGTCAGCCTACAGAAGGATGGATGATGACTTAATTCGATGCTCTGAGCTGCACTGAGCTCAGGGAGGACTTGGAGCAAAGTAGATTGATGATAGACAATAATAAGCAAAGTAGATGATAGTTAGACCCTTAATAAAGTCTCAACTATTGAAGCTGATGGAGGATTTACTGAGTGATGATAAAAAATGTGAGCAAGAGGGGCTCTCTGATGTCTTCTTCTCTCTTTTTTTTTTTTTTTGCTATCTAAGTACAGTGATTTATATACAGTACAGGGGTGTTGCCCTTGGAAAACAAGGTGCAAACACTTGGTAAGTGATTGGTAACTGATGAGTAAGGAATGTAAGTGATGGGTAATTGTCTTGGAAAGCATTGGTAAGCATTGGTAAGGATAAGCAAGCCAAAAGGTGAAGAATCAGTAAGCAAAGTCAAAAGATTGGTAAGTATTGGCAATAGGTGAGTCAAAGACAGTCAGAACATCAAAGTATGAGTCAAGTAATGTCAGGAACTGGGAAAGTGCACTGGAATCGCATTAGGGGGAGGCTGTGCATGTCACATCTTGAAGAGATTGCTTCTAGGCCAATGTGGGATGACAGAGAGGCAGCACTGATCTGATGCTGATATAGTACATCCAAAAGTGGACAGGGTGAGTCAGATATCAACAGGGGTCAAGCTTTTGGGGTCTGTAGGGTGACAGGAGCATATGGGATTGCAACTTTCCCCCCCAAACCATCCTCTCAGTGAAGCAAATAAAAACTTCATGAATGAGGCTCTGTTGGAAGAGATGATGAAGGGGGAGTGTCTTCTGCTGTATCTTGCAACAAGGAGGCAAGATGTGCATCATACTCATCATAGATGTGATCAGGGAGAGTGGAGAACAGTAGATTATACTGTAGCTGTTGCAATCTTGGAAGAATGATGGATGAGACTGGTATGAAGACACTGCAGGGAGCAGGGAGGAAGGATCCATATGCTTCTTGGACTGGAGGGACTGAAACAACCACATAAGACCTTTCCAAGTGAATGACAGACCTGAGGCAACCAAAGAATGTCCTCCTAGAGGTCATACTGACAAAAAGAATGTGCTGTCCAAGCTGGATGGCCCAAGAGGGGGCAGACAAGGGTGGGATGTACCAGGATGCTTCAGGACAGAAGCTGGTAGGAACTCCTGGTAGATATATGTAGCCATGGTCCCTAGCAAAGGGGACAAATGAAATGATTGATGTGGAGGCAGCCATATCAGAAGAATTAGTGAAATGAGTGTATTTTGGAGGGAGTGCTGTAGAAACATGTGGAGTGTGCAAATCCTTTCCAATTTTGGAAGGTAGGATCGCATGGCTGAGCACTACAAGTGAGTGTGGGAATGGTCTTGGTATCTGCAGAAACAGTGGAGATATGTCAAAAACC